CTCTCATATGGTAACAACCTCTGCCACTGCACAAGCAAATGATCCCTCGAATCTCTTACATCTAAACTTTCTCTGCCCTACACTTCCAAAAATGTCTCATCGCTAAGGTTTTTCTATTTTCCACTCTTTAAAATCTTTTATCTCGCTGCGTTGGTGCCGCACACCTTTAATCCCAGCACTAGGCAGGCAGAAACAGGAGAATCTCTGAGTTTGAGGTCAGCCTGGTCTGCAGAGTGAGTTCCAGGGCTACACAGAGAAACCCTGTCTGGAAAAAAAAATTATCTTTACTTTTTCTTTGCTTTCTGCTCTCAAAAAAAAATAATCTTAAGAGTACCTTGTAATCTACCTCAGAATTTGTAAAATAATTGGGTGTGTTTTTAAAATCTGTAACAAAATTTAACTTAAAACTTATAGCAAGAGGTTTATAATTACAAATCTATACATAGATAATTTAATTTGCTACAACTTATATTTATATATATGATTCTTTTTTTAATTTTTTTATATTTTGGTTTTTTTGAGACAGGTTTTCTCTATGTAGCTTTGGAGCCTGTCCTGGAACTTGCTCTGTAAACCAGGCTGGCCTTGAACTCACAGAGATCTGACTGTCTTTGCCTCCCAAATGCTGGGATTAAAAGCATGTACCACCACGGACCAGCAATGATTCTATTCTTGTTTAAAATGTACTATATATGTAATTTGGATTCAACTCTTATTTAAGAAAATATGTCTACTAAAAAAATAGATGTTTTTAAAGAGCAGCCGCATGGCTCACCTCCATCTTGGCTGATTACCTCATTGGGACAGAAGGCACCAGTGGCTGGCAGCCATCTTTACCATGGTTAAAAGAGAGCACATGCAATGTAACTTCCCCACCATCTTGATTAAGGTGACCACATGGTATAAACCAACTAAGGCAAATATCATAAAACTTCTTATCATTGTATCTCCTTTTCAGACTAGGAAGGCAGTATCAGGTCTCCAGAATATTTTGGATTAGGATGGATTTTTATGTGATAATAAATTCCTAAGGTTATAAAGGTCAACTCCGGTTAACAGAAACTGACTTTAGAGGCATAAGTCTAACCACTTATGTCTTTGCTAACTGTTCAATAGTAGACTTCTAGAACATTTAAAATAATAACCAACATGTTTGATAAATAGTGTTTATTTGATAAATAAGGTTTTTGGGTTTTTTTTGTTTTTGTTTTTTTTTTTTTGGTTTTTACGAGACAGGGTTTCTCTGTATTGTTTGGGAGGCTATCGGTCCAGCCCGGCCTCGAACTCACAGAGATCTGCCTGCCTCTGCCTCCCGAGTGCTGGGATTAAAGGCGTGCACCACCACTGCCCGGCGATAAATAAGGTTTATAAATCCCTAAGATCCACTCATGTTAACAGTAGCTGACTGGCAGACGCGTGTCTCACCTCTTCATCTTTGCTAACTTTTCTAAGCTTTGTCTTCTGGAATAAGCTGAATCACACAAGAAACTGATTTTGTAGTCATTCACTACAAAAGGATCAAGAAATCAGGTTTAAAGCACACCTTTAAACCCAGCTCTCAGGAGGCAGAGGCAGGCAGATGGCAGATCTCTGTGAGTTCAAGGACAGCTCTGTCTACAGAGTGAGTTCCAGCCAAAACTACACAGAGAAACCCCATCTCAAAAACAGCAACAACAAAAGGATCAACAAAATAAGGTTGTCAATCCCCCTTGGACTGTATTTATGGTTTTGTACAGTTCCCCATCTCTCTGGAGACTTTGTTTATGGTTTAAAGTATCACTTTGATGCTAAAGTTTCTTAAACTTCAATTTTTAAGGCTCAGACTTAACAGGGATAAAATTGTAAAATCGGCCGGGCAGTGGTGGCGCACTCCTTTAATCCCAGTGCTCGGGCGGCAGAGGCAGATGGATCTCTGTGAGGTCGAAGACAGCCTGGTCTACAAAGCGAGTTCCAGGACAGCCTCTAAAACAATACAGAGAAACCCTGTCTCGAAAAGCAAAAAAAAAAAAAAGAAAAGAAAAAGAAAAAAAAGATAATTAAGACATGTAAGTTAACGGCCAGCCACCTTATAAATGATCAGATTCTTTACTCAAAAGTATGCTCATAAGCCATGTTAAGTACAAATGCAATTTGTTTACAGGGACGAGTTTTGGCTTTTGGGTTTTTTGTTTGTTTGTTTGTTTTTTGGTTTTTTGAGACAGGGTTTCTCTGTATTGTTTTGGAGGCTGTCCTGGAACTCACTCTGTAGACCAGGCTGGCCTCAAACTCACAGAGATCCACCTGCCTCTCAGGAACAAGTTTTATTGAGCCTTCTATATATGTTTTTCAAGGTTAAGCCTAAAGCAAGTAGCTGAAAACAAGTTCCCTTAACTCAGGTATGCTTAATAGATGATGGTCCTCAAACTCCTCAGAGATCTCCTGAATATGGCATTTTCAATGTTTAATGGAAAAACTTCCTGTAATAGACAGAACCGCTACCCCTAGCAGTGACCCTAGGAAGTCTCCAAGGAAGATAATAGGGCACAATCTACTCCTGGATTGTGGCAACACTAACCACTGGGCAAAGAACTGACTCATGCCTCAGCCACCACAGGGCTCTGCCCAAGCTGTGGACACTGTTGGGTTGACTATCCTGCTCTCCCTCGTCAAGGTATGCCAGTTTTCCAAGGTCCTCCTCCACCAGAAAATCTCTCAGATCTCTGGGTCTAGCAGTCAAAGACCAATACTGTCCAGTGTGGTAGCTAAAGATTTAATGCTGTCCTGTGTGACAGCCAAAGACATAATACTTCTGCTCCCAACAAAGCCATCAAGACCACCATGGAGCACGTAGGCTAACCATTTAGGTAGCCAGTAAGTCTGTCACTTTAACTGGTACAGAGGCCATTTGGGTTAACTTTCTGCTATACTTTATCCCTCTCAAGTCTCTGATACTGTTGATGACTAACTGTAGCTTCATGTTAACAGAAGCAAGCAAATCCGCTCCTCCCCCAAGGCTGCAGCTGTCTGGTCAACCCATCTCATGTGATATGAGCTACTAGGTCTCCTGCTGAGAAAGGCAGACACAGATGTTACCTTCCTGGAAGACTTCACGCTGGAAAACATAAGCTCCCCGAACAGATTTCAGTGTCACATTTTACTATTCCTTTATTTAAAGGAACTTGCTTTAAAATGACTGCTCTCAGGAACCAACCACATGTGTCTCATAGTAAATGACTGAGTGGAAAGAAAGGTTTGAAGTTTGTGTAAGTTGTGAGGGTCTGAGAAAGTGATTGAAGTTTATGTAAGTGCAAGTTGTAAAAAACGTGAAAGCTTAAGTTAGTTGTAAGGGTCTAAGAAGGTGTTTTGTTTTGATTCTGTTTGGCTTGGGTTTTGGTTTTTCAAGACAGGGAGCATTTCTCTAGATGACAGTCCTGGCTATCCTGGAACTTCCTTTGTAGACCAGGCTGGCCTCAGACTCACGGAGATCTGCTTGCCTCTACCTCCCGAGTGCTGGGACTAAAGGCTACCTCCTGGCTAGTTGTTTTCTAAGTACGGACTTAAAAGTGCTTCTCATTGTGTTAAAGCCATCTGTCCAATCTCTATACACCCAGTCTTCTTGATAGAGAAAGGCATGTTCGTGCTTTTGACTCCTAATCATTTTGGGGGGATTTCCAGGCTTTTATTGTGACTTGAAGGCATGAGTCAACTGCTTTTTCTGCAACATGGATTTCAGTACAGATCACAAAGACTGATAATGCTAGTACATATAAAACTTTTATCTATAAACTTAAAATGGTCTTGTAAGCTTCAGGGAGTCATGAGACTTGGACCCACTTCTCACAGGTTAAATAGACTAAGTTCCCTATTTGCCTCTTCCTAAGGGTGAGATTTCTCTCTCTCCCCTGGTCTTGGTACCTACCCCACGCCTCTCCCTCTACTGTCACTGCAACCACCAGGACCATGGGCCTGGAAGTTTCAAATGTACACCCAAGATAAAAAATGTCCCCTAAGCTCCTTAACTTTGCCTTCTGTCCCTAGCCTACACCTGTCCCAGTAGATTTCCAAAACTGCCTGCAACGCTCCAGCTCCAGGTGTTTCTTGGAACCTGCATCCTAGACTGCTCCAAAGCAGCCTGTACTTCACTTGCCCCAGGTGGTCCCTCAGAACCCGGGCAGTGAGCAAAACAGATGTCCTCCAGCCTGCTCTTCTCTTCCCAGCCTTTGACCAACCTTCCAGCCTTCTTGGGCCCCCAACAACGATGCCCTAATTTTAACTAAGAAGCAGTTACAAAAGAGATTACATCACCCCTTATCATCATCAAAAAGACTGGAATGTCAGATCCCAAAGAAACCCCCAGACACATGGCTAACTGTGGTGCCTATTTAAGCTACCAAAGTCAGGCTCTCTCCATTGCCAGGACCTGATACAGAGTCCTGGCTCCTCTCAACACTTCTCGCCCCACCCTAAACCTCTCCAGGCCCTGATCTTTGCTTCCCTTCCCACAGCTTACGATTCCTATATAGCCCGCCATTTTTTGCTGTCTGGGTTCTTCTTTGTCCTCTCGGTCCTAGCCTTCCCTGGTCCCCTCTCTTGCCCCTCTCTCTCCTCTCATGGCCGGGTCTAGTCTGCTGGCCCTGTTCAGTCTGGACTCTGGCTGCTCTCTCCCTCGTATCTACAATAAAACCTTCTCCCCCACCATAGCAATGTCCTCATTTCCATTCAACTTCCACTTCCTGGGTACTCACGGTGTCAGGCTTTCCAGTAAGGACTTCCTGTGTCACATCCTCCCCCTATGAGAGGACTATTCACATCCCCATGAGGAAACACGCTATAAGAGAGTGCCCAGAGTTCAAAGTCATAAGGCGCAGCGTTGGGATCCAAACTCCAGCCAGGCAACCTGTTTCTTGGTTCCTGCTTCCCTGGGTTCAGCCCTTTCCCCGGGTATGCCCACATGCTTTCATCTCCTATCAGAGGTGTAGGCAAGGAGGAGCCTGTCTCTCTGAGAGGAATGCCTTCTCTAGCTTTTAGGACCGGGGACCACCCTCAACCCAAGTCTGTGGAGAGAAGTGAGCCCCTCATCTCTTCCACCACCAACCACTCCATCTTCATATCTCCCACCCACGAATGACTCTGCCATCTGTCCCAAAGAACTCCTCATCCCCGGATCCTGAATACTGGGCAGAAGAGAGGAACAAACAGCCAAGACAACATATTTTCCTTTTTCTGACATTTTTATTAATCAAATGTTAAAAAATAACTATCATCCATAAATGCCCAAGCACCTAGCTGGTCCTCTCACCCCAAAGTACTGAAGTAATGCCCTGCTCAGCCTCTTTTGCAACTCTGCTCCTGCTTTCCCTGCTCCAGCTCAGAGACAGACCCTGGAGGGAGGGTGGGACAGAGCTGAAAGCAGCAAGCATGGCACAGGGCAGACAGCTCCAGCTGACGCTGGACAAGATTAGAAGGGTAGGTCCTCAGACACCGTTTTCAGGACCCAGCACCCAGCCAGCTTCCCAGCCCCACTCTCCAGATCACTTCCCATAGCCCAGTTCCTTTCTGCCCTTCCCCTACTACCAAGGCCTTGGCCCTTACCCCCACCAGAATCCCTGCACACCTTTTCCAGCCCCAACCCGCCCCCTGAACTCCCCTGGGATGAGGACTTCTGAAGCCAGGAGCTCCGCAGAGCATCCCAGATGAGTGCTCAGAGTCCATAGGGAAGGCTGTCCTGAGCCTGGACCTTACAGAGATGAGGAGAGGTGCAGACTGGGGAATGAGGTGGTGGGGGTAAAGAGAAGTTTTATTTCCAGGTCCAGGGCCTCTAAAATCCCCTGCCCCCAACACCCTCAACAAGTTCCAAGAAGAGGTCCTCAGCTCCGAGCAACAGGGCTCTCCATCTTCACACTCCTGGCTGCTTCTCCAATCAGCTCCCAGAAGCTTCCAAACTCCAGTTTCGAGTCATTACAGTTACCCAGGTTGGCAATTTTCTCTTCTAGCCCACAGTTGCTCTGAGGACAGGAAAGACACCACAACTCAGCAAGACAGTACCTTCAGATCTTCCTGCCCCACCCTGGCCTGGGGTGAGTAGGAGGACAGGAGCCTACCAGGTGTTGGCTAGAGGGAAAGGCAGGGGTTACCAGTGCCAGCTCCAGTGAACTCTGGAGCGCTAGCTTGGAAAGTCAGGGGTCTGAATGGGGTGGGGTCCACTCCCTCAGTACCGGCATGAGATGTGGCAGCTGCTGGGTAACCAGGTCTCGCAGTTCAGTGGGGGTCAGTGTTTCCTTTCCACCCTCCACAGAATACTGGTGGAAGTTCTTGATGAGGGTCTCAATGGCCCTCTCTACATCACTGAATTCTTGGGCATCCTGAAAATAGCAGACACAACCCACGTCATGAGGGCCCCCATCCACCCTACAAAACCCTTTTCAGGAGCCTCAGAAAATCAACAGGATAGAAAGCAGCTAGAATCCTCTCTGGAGTCCAGAATCCTGCCCCACTCGCTCTCCCAGAGCCCAGCCTCCAGGCCACAGTGGCCTCTGCCCTAAGCCATGGATTAGGTAAACCTCTCCGCCCCAAATCCCAGGCAGGGCAGGCCCCGGCATGTGCCCAGACATCCTATTTCCCGAAGAACTCCATTTGCATCACTCTGTGTAGGCATAAGGGAGGAGATTTGGGGCTTTCTGGCAGTATCTGCAGGGTAAGGCCTACGAAAGAAGCCGAAGCCATCGGGGGCACGAACCCTCATAACAAGAAGAGAACAGACCAGATGAGCGGGCCCACCTCGGCATTGGCTGACCGACACTGTCCCATGGTGCCTGGTACACTGGTCCTTTCGAGAGTTAGTTTCGTCGTCTGTCCTATAGCCTGCCCCACAGGAGCTGATGGCTCATGATCTGCCTAGAGGAAGGGGGAGAACTCATCATTCTTTTTCTCATGACCGCTTTTGGCTGTACCCAACATACACCTTCACCTAAGCAGTTGACGTCTACTTCACACGGATCCCATCCCTGCCCAAACTCCAGGAGCTAAAGTCACAGTTCCTAGGCCAACCCACTCGGAAGGGGATCCCCCCCAGGCCCCACCTCAGCTTCATTCTTCCCACCTCCTCCAGCCACCCCTGCGAGACCTGGGCAAGAGAGGTGTGCGGTCCTCCCTGAAGAGACAGCTCATCTAGGCTGAAGGCACTGGACTTGCTTACCTGCTGGCAGCTGCAGAGACGGGATGGAGGAGCCAGCTCACCTGAGCTCAGTTCTTATACCTGGGGGAAGGGAGGGGAAGGCAGGGGCAGGGCCAGTGCCTTATCCCTCAGCCACCCCAGGTATTGCAGCCTCCTGGGCTGGGAGCCAGCTTTGTGAGCCCCACCCTCTACAGTCCTAGAGTTGGTCCCCACCCCTACCATGAGGAGGAAGCCATGGAGGGCTGGGTATGGGATACCCCTGGCACGAGCTCACCTCCCAGCGTGCCAGGGAGAGAAGAGAAGGCAGGCTAGGGGGTACAGAAGGAACCTTACTTGGGAGAGTGGGGACCTGTAGAGGCTGTGAGGCAGGGAAGCAGAGGGAGTCTGCATGGGAAGGAGAAGCAAGGGCTGACCAAGGTGGGTTTGTGGGATGAGGAAAGAGGTCCCCAGCGTCTCTGTGCTTTGACTCCCTTCTCTCCTCTCCCTCCTAACCAGAACTGACTTGGCTAGTAACGCTCAGGCCTGCTGAAACCCAGAGCCAAGCCTTCCCTAGTCCTGACAGCACGGGTATGAAAAGGTAGAAAGAAGGGCCAGAGCCGCGCACCCTGACGCTGGGAACACACTGAGCCTTCCCTGATGCCCTGCCAGCGCCTTGAAGCAGCCCAGGGCACCCATGTGCAAGGCTCAAAGGAGCTGCTTGGCAGGTAACAACCTCTCCAAACTGGTTGGGCTGCCACCTCCTCCCTCCCTGCAAATCCTACCCCTTCCCTGAAGAGCATGCCAACACCAGCCCTCCTGTCTACTACCCAGGAACCCCAGGGGAAGCCTAGACTGCAGTTCCTGGGACTGTGACCAACCCAACTAGCCCTCCTCACCTGCCCAGGAACTAGGACCTGAACTCATGGGCAAGGACAGACCGTGGTGGAAGGGTTGAGAGGTCAGAAGAAGGATTGCGTGGGCCTAGAGTAAAAATTGCCTTCCTAACTCTGGAATCGGACGTCTATCCAGTCTTCTTTGTGTCACCTGCTGGAGGTGCCCTACATTTCTGCTCTCGATAGGGGACTCTTCCACAACGATCTCATTTGGGGAGCTCTTCTGAAGGACTTTCTGCTGGAGACCCTATAGGGTCTCACCATCAGAGGCTTCTCAGAGTCCCTCAGCCTGGAAGCCTCTCCAATGTCCCCTCAGAGAGCCCAGAAATCACTCTGAAGTCCCTCTGGGGCCTCCTTCCTGGTCTGAGTTGGGGAATTTGTCTCTGCTAATTTCTCCTGGTTGACTAGCTGCCCCAAGTGGACACCCACAGTTACAGCCCTGACAGCCCAAGAGGCTTACATCATTGCCACACCCCTACTCTCTCTAGTGGTAAGTTGTACAAACCACTTGCCCCTCAAGTCAGAGAATGCAGGGTGGGGACAAGCTCCCCATACTACCACAGCTCCCTCTCCCTGTCACATTTGAGCAGCACTTCTCCAGGCCAATTCTAGCAATTCTTGTCTTTGTAACCTAACCTCCCTAAAAGCGTTTCTTCAAAGCCGGGAGGGCTGTTACCCCAGCACCTGTGAAGGTGAGGAAGGAAAATTGCTGAAGATAGCAAGACTCTATCTTCAAACAATAACAAGGGTGCTGGAGAGATGGCTCAGCAGTTAGGAGCACTGGCGGCTCTTCCAGAGGACCCACATGGCAGCTCACTCTAATTATCTGACACCCTCACACAGACATACGTGCAGGCAAAACACCAATGCACATAAAATAAAAATAAGTAAGTTATTAAAACAATAACAACACAACACAAAAATAAAGAAAAAAGCTAAAAGAGGACTAGGGGTGTGACTACTCCCAATTGCCTAACATGCGCACGATCTTAGGCTAATCTTCAATACTGCAAAAATTAATTGAATTAGTCAACCTTAACTGCTGTGACAGTTAATTAGAGGAATGTGAGTAAAATATTTAGCAGGTGCTCATTATTATCACTACCAGCCAAAGAACAAACTCCAGGAGCTATATGGGAGAAACCTATAGGAACTAGAGCCATGGAGCTGAGCCCCAGGAGCCGCCTGCCTCAAATCACTCATCAACTACGTATTGAGCACCTACTTAATGCAAGACCTATTGCTATGCCACATGTGCTCAAGGACCTGAGTTCTGTCCTTGACACCAGAGGGACAAAACAAATCTCATTGTATGTAGGATGCTAGATGCTGTAGGGTATTTGAAGATGAATCACACTTCTTGCCTTCCAAGTGCCTACAATTTCATTTTTTCACCTCAGGTAAAGACAGAGTTTTCCCATCCCCTGGTCTCAATAAAAGAAATCTGGATAGAAATTTGTGTTTCAAGAAGGAAGCTTTTATTAGGGGGAGTGGGGTTCTTCCTGGCCCTGCCCAGCAGGCCATGCTGGACTCCCACTCCAACAAGCAAGCTTTACTTCTTCTGGATTTCCAAGGCTTTCTCCTTCCTGATTTCCTTCGCCAGTTCCCCAATCAGTCTCCAGTACTCGCTGAACTTCAGCTCCGAGTCCTGGTTCACATCCAAGCTCTTCATCTTCTCATCTAGAGAGCCCACGTCCTAGAAGACATAAAAGGGTTAGAAACTAGGGCTCTTGAGGCAGGGAAAGCCGGAAGAACCATCAGGTACTTCCCTCAGTGATGCCTGCCCTAAGGATGAGGCTATAGACCTGGGACTGCACTGCCTGAGGTCCCATATCCAAGGGACACCAGCAGACACTGTGGCTGAGCATAAACTGCCTCTCTCCTTTATATTACTGCCACTGCTGCTCATTTGCATCATCCTGACATCTCAACTTAGTCACCACCGGGTAGGTCAGAGGAGTAGTAAAAACACTGGGTTATGTTTTTCTAGGGTGCTCTTGACAAAGTATCTCATGGCTATAAAACCAGAAGATACTGTAAGCCTGCCTTCGTGATGAAAGGATTTGTTGCCAGATAAACAATTACAACCATAAGTGTATGGTAGGGTGATGGGTGTCAGATTGAAGGATGTTCCACATGGAGCTTGATTCTCAACATTGAGGGGTTTCTGGAGGGGGGGTGGGTTAGATTCATTCATTTTATTTTATGTGCATTTTGCCAACATGTGGTATGCATATGTATGTACTATCTCGTTCAACATGATCCTTTCACTGTCAAGTACACAGCTTAAGTTTGTTTACCAAGACAGGAAAAGACAGAGTAGATCTTCAATAAGTTGAAGTACATCACCAGTCCAACAAAAAAGGCATAAGCCTGTCTAGCAGATGAGAAACTTAAACCTCAGAAAGGCCAGGTAGTGGCATCAAGCATAGATGAACAGTTAGACTTGTACTTGAATCCAGGTTGCTTTTTCCTCTTTTGTTTTTTAAAAAGAACGTTAACCAGTTAGAAAATATAAAGAGAGACTGGGTGGTGGTGGCACTTGCCTTTAATCCCAGCACTCCAGAGGCAGAGGCAGGTAGGTCTCTCTGAGTTCAAGACCAGCCTGATCTGCAGAGCTAGATCCAGGACAGTCAGCCAGGGCTACACAAAGAAATCCTGTCTCGAAAAACAAAACAAAACAAAAGAAGAAACCAAGAAAATATAAAGAGAAATCCTATTTAATATATATTTTTAATAGTGAAGCAGCACGTATACATAAATGTCACAATTAAGCCTCCCTTAAGAAAACTACAGACTGGGAAAACAACTCAGTTGCCAGAGTGTTGGCCTAGCATATGCACAAAGCCTGGGGTTCTGTCCACAGCACCACATAAACCAGGTGTGACGGCCCAGGCTGCAAGCCCAGCCTCAGGGGGCAGACACAGCACCTCCTGTTATTGAACTCTTTTCAACATTAAAAAATGCTATGGGCTGGGTATAGTGTCAAATGCCTGGAATCCTCATCAGGAAGGAGGGCAAGACAAGTGGACCACTGTAAATTCAAGGCCAGCTTGGTACAGTGAGTTCCAGATCAGTCAAAACTACATAATTATAATCAAATAAATTAATAAAATGCCTTGAAACTTCTGAAAAATAAGAATTTAAACCAAGCAGTGGAGGCTCACACCTTTAATCCTAGCACTGGGGAGGCAGAAGTAGGTGAATCTCTGTGAGTTCGAAGTCAGCCTGGTTTACAGATCAAGTTTCAAGACAGGTAGGGCTACACAGACACAGAGAAACCCTGTCTCAGGAGATAAAAAGAAAAGAATTTAAATAAATGCATATAGGTTGTAGTGCCCTTGTAATCCCAGCATTTAGGAAGCTGAGGCAAGCCGGGTGATGGTGGTGCACGCCTTTAATCCCAGCACTCGGGAGGCAGAGGCAGGCGGATCTCTGTGAGTTCGAGGCCAGGCTGGACCGATAGCCTCCGAAACAATACAGAGAAACCCTGTCTCGTAAAAACCAAAAAAAAAAAAAAAAAAAAAAGGAAGCTGAGGCAAGATGACTGCTGTGAGTTGGATATCAATCTGTTTTAAGAGTGGGAGGTAAAAACCAGTTTGAGAATACACAGTAAGGGGAAAAATATGTGTCTCAATATTTTTAAGGGGGCTGGTGAAATGGGAGATACTCATCATGTTCCAAGACAGCTAGGGCTACATAGAGAAACCCTGTGTCAAAAGTAAAAAATAAGAAGGAAAAAAGAGAAAAGAAACAAACTAGAAGGGTGGCGCATGCCTTTAATCCCAGTACTTAGGAGGCAGGTGGATCTCTGAGTTCAAGGCCAGCCTGTGGTGTCCACCTTTAACACTTGGGAGGAAGAGGCAGGAGGATCTCAAGTTCAAGACCAGCCTGGGACATACAGAGGGACTCTGTCTCAAAAAATAAAATAAAACAAAGAAAACAACGGGGCTGGAGAGTTGGCTCAGTGGTTAAGAGCACTGGCTAATCTTCCAAGGGGGGTCTGGGTTCAATCCTTAGCACCCACATGACTGCTAACAACAGTCTGTAACTATAGTTCCAGGGGGTCTGATGCCCTCTTCCAGCCCCCACCAACACTGTACACACATGGTGCACAGATAGGCACGCAGGCAAAACACCCATCCACATCAAATAAAAAATAACTATTAAAAATAAATAAGCGAAAGATTTCTGTTTCAATGGCACTCCCAAGAACATCTTGAACTTTCTAAAACCTTCCTGACTTTCTGCAAGAAATGTGACAAGCATGAACCCTTCTATTGTGGGATATTCTGATCGCCCTCTGACATTCCCAAGACTTCCCAGGAAAGTTATACCCTGAATCAGGGGGCAGAACCACTGACTAGCTGACCGGAATTGACCATAGAGAAGCCAGACATCAAGAGGAAACAGGAGGTGCAAAATGGAAGAGAGGTAATGCCAAGTAGCAGAACATAGATTAATATAAATGGGCTAATTTAAGTTGTAAGAGCTAGTGGGACCAGCCTAAGATAATGACCAAGCTTTTATTATTAAAGAAGTCTCCATGTCATTGCTTGGCTGGCAGGACAGAAAAGAACTCTTTATACCCCACAAAGTGACACAATACAGAAGAGCAAGGATTCTCTGTGTGCTTGGGGAAAGTGGCCCTGTGACAGGCTACAGTGGGCACACTAAGTCTACTTTCCTCAAAAAGGCTAAATTACCCCGAGTTCACTAAGGCTTGAGAGTTGAGCCTACTGCGGATATGAGAGGATACTGGCTCTTAAAAGCGATGAAAGCATTTTGAACTGGAAGGTGAAAAGAAGAGAAAGGGCCAAGTAATCGAGCTTTAAGCTGATCTTGTTATGAATTCCAGCACATTGTAAACTAATACAAATGATCCAGAAAAAAGGAAAATGTGACATGCAGCGGGAAAAAGGAACAAGACTTCTAAGCAGGTGAGAGGGAATGGAATCCAGGACACCAGCAGAGAGCTGGCCTTAGAGGCATGGACAGATCATTTGTGAGGAATGGGAGGAAGGCACAGTGTAAGCTGACCCAGTAGATGATCTGGGGACAGGGGAAGCACATAAAATCCTCTTGATTGCTTATTTTTGAAGTGAGTTAATTTCTCAGTGACAAGGAGAATGTGGAAACAGGTATTGGAATCTGAGGAAGGAAAAGTTGTGTCCTAACCATTCAAAGTAAAATACAGACTTGCTCAGCATTGCCAAGGGTTCCTTTGGAGTTTGTGAAACTAGTCAACCCGGCTGTGTGTTCCTCTAGTAGACTAGCTCTCCACGTGCAGACACAGGTGGTGGATTTAGGCAGAAATGTAGGTCTGTGGGGGTCCTGACTGACAGCAGAGAGACAGGATCAGGGGGTTTGCAAGCATGGTTATAATGATGCATCTTAGAACATGAACTAAACAAGAAGAGCCATGAGGAGATGAAGCTGACGGGTGGAAATGAAAACAGAGCAGTCACCCGGTGATGGTGGTGCACACCTTTAATCCCAGCACTCAGGAGGCAGAAGCAGGCAGACCTCTGTGAGTTCAAGGCCAGCCTGGTCTACAGAGCAAGCTCCAGGACAGCCAGGGCTACACAAAGAAACCCTGTCTCGAAAAACGGAAATGAAAAGGAAAAGAAAAAAGCAACCACACAAATGTGTGGCTTCAAACAGTAGTGTATTCCTTTAATCCTACCACTCACTGTAATTCCAGTCCCGGGGGATCTGATGCCCTTTTCTGACCTCGGCAGGCACCAGGATGAATGTGCTACATGTGCACACAAAATAATAAATCCGTTAAAAAATAACACAAAAACAAGAAGTGGAATAACAGAGGGTGACCAGACAAAAGGAGGTTGAGGAGGTTTTGAAAGCCTCCAGTTAGCACATTTTTGGCTAATGAAGCACATACAGTTAAATCAGACTGAGATGGCTACTGAAACGGGGACTGTTGAACAGAACAATGAGGTGCAACATGATCGATCTTTAGAAGAGAGATAAAGGGAATTGGTTTTGTTTGGTTTTGGTTAGTGTTTTCTCTGTTTCCCTGTCATTCACGGAACTTGTACTGTAGAGCAGACTGGAGGTGAACTCAGAAATCTGCCTGCCCCTGAGTGCTAGGATTAAAGGTGTGTGCCACTATGGCCAGGCGGTCTCTATTTCCCTTTCCAGAACCCACATGGCAGTTCACAATCACCTGTAACTCCATTTTCAGACGACCTGATGATGCCCTCTTCTGGTTTCTGTGGGCACTAAGCACACAGACTCACATGCAAGCGAAACACCCATACATATAAAGTGAAAGTGAAAAAAATATCAATTCCTATTCATGTTGGGACTGGTGGGATGCACCTATAATTCAGAACTTGTGAAGTAGCAACAGGAGAATCAGGACTTTGAGGACAACCTTTGCTGGGCATGGTAGCACAGTCCCAGAACTTGAAAAGCTGAGGCAGGCTAAGCCAGCCTGGACTAAATAGCAAATTCCAGCCAAGACTACACAGTGAGACCCTATCTCAAAAAAAAAAAAAATCCATATTCACACACTCTTTTTTGTTGTTTTTCGAGACAGTGTTTCTCTGTGGAGCCCTGACTGTTCTGGAACTCGATCTGTAGACCAGGTTGACCTCAAACTCAAAGATCCGACTACCTCGTCCTCCCAAGTGCTGGGACTAAAGGCATGAGCTACCACAACCAGCCATATTCGCACACTCTTATGTGACTGTGAATTTTCATAAAGGATTAAAATAAACTGCTAACAGACTAGAATAGCATACAAACTCAGAGTCAATACATTAGAACCCCCAATCACATCTCCCTGTATTGAGGAGATGCCCATAGGTAATGGAAGTAATCACAGAAGCTCTCCATAGACCTGGGTACACTGAGAATATATAGCTCACTATGACTTTATGTGGTGTTTGTTGAGAAAGGGTCTCCCTAAGCTGGTTTTAAATTCCTGATCCTTCTGCCTCAGCCTCCTGAGTGCTGGGATTAGACTTACAGGCAGACAGCACCATTCTTGGGTGTAGTTTTATTTTTGTTAAGCCTCCTTCTAGCTCTTACCATCTGTAAATCTCTGGGAATCCACCTCTGGGTCCAGTAATATGTTGAGAAAATGAGACTGGAGAGACACAGGCAGACTCAAGTACTCAGCAATACTGCTTGACAGGAGAATAGAGCTCAATAACACATTCCCATTTGCACCATCACAGCATCCTTGCTCGTCTAGTTTTTACACACACACAGAGAAAACACAGAACACCTACACACGCAGTCACTCACATTTTTTCTGCCACATTATCTATTCAGTGTCATCACCTGGCATTCATAGACAGTCTCAGTCCCAGAAACCTCTACCAACCTTTAGCAAATGAGGCAACTGCTCCGTGACCAGTTCCTTAAACTCGTTGGTGCTCAGGCTGCCTTTCCGTCCTTCCCGCCCTGCAAAGGCGAAGAAAGTGGTAACCACGGTCTCAATGGCTGCCTCCAGTTCTGTCAGCTGTTCCTCTGCCATTAGTACCGCGAAGTAGGAGCTGATGTCCTCACAGACTGACCTGATGGGGCAGAAAGAGACCAAGAGAGTTAGGGATCCGAGCATGGGTAAGGTGGCTGCCTAAAAGTGTGGGAAAGATGAAAGGGTCCAGAATGGGCAAGTACTGTAGTTGAGGTTCGCTTCCAGAGATGATTTTTCTCTGACTCTCATGTCTGTGTGTCCTTTTTAAGGGTCTGTCTTTGGGATGCACCTGCATTGGTCCCTCCATATGGCGACCACTCTACCTTTGAGGGTGTTTTGTTTTGTTTTTTGGAGTCTTCTGGTGTGGTAACATCCCGGGTGGGGTCTCCGTCCTAATGGCCCTTTCTCGTTGTCACTCCCTGTCTTAGGGTCAGGAAGTTGTTTGTCTCCAATGCTTATTTATGTTGAGACCAGAGTCTCTCCTAGTAGAGAAGCCTAGGGTTGGCGAAGGCCCAATTGAGGTCAGGTCTGGCTCAATCGGGGCTAGACCCATCTTCTCTGCCCCATACTCTACCTCTTCTAATGGGGTCGAAGGGTGCTGAGCACCAGACCCCACCGACCTTCCCCACTCCTGTCCATGGTTGACAAGGTCCAGAAAGGGACTCTTCAAACTCCTCAAGCCCACAGTGCCGTCAGGGCTCCAGGAAGGGAAGAAACACGCCTACTCACTCACCCCCCTCATTTCTGTCCACCCACCCGCATAGTCCTGCAAAGACCTTCGCCTGCTTTCCTAAAGCCACTTCCTGAATCTCTGCCTGAACCAGCTTGGAAGAAGGAACCTGGTAGCTGATAAAGAAAAGAAAGTCTCCGGCCTCTCTGCAGAGTCAGAGAGAGCAACTCACCCGGGAAAGGAGATGGGATGGGATGCAGCGAGCCGAGCTAGAGCCTCAAAGCTGAAGTTTTTAAGCACCAGGGACGGAGAGAGCCACTCCCAAGTCCGAAGTGTCAAGTTTCCGCCTCCGCTGATTCGGAAAAGCCGGGACCGCCCCTGCTGTCACTAGTCATCCCAACGTTGCGCCACGCGACCAGACAGAGCCTGCTCAGGAGGGACCTTAGGGTCCCATCCCTCCCAATTATGGGGACTAATCAGGAGTCTGTCAGGGGGCGCTGCTACTGCTGTTTGGAAAAATTAAAAACACTTGAGAAATTCAGCGCTGGAAAGCCCAGTCTGAGAAACCAGAGACCCTGCAAAAGACCTTTCAGTCCAAGGGCACTCGGAAAGCCCCAGGCTGAGGCCCCTATAATGGAACCCCAATTGAAATTCTTCCCTGAGTTCCGAGACCGAAGCCCCTCACGGAGGCGCAGTGGCTAAGCACCCCTGGACAGAATCCTCCCCTTCCCCTGCTCAGCGCGCACCGCGGCACCCTTCCCAGGACTTCTCTTCCACCTCCTTCCTGCTGGGCTAGGGGAGGGGGTGCAACAAATAACGGAAAGAAACATAGGGCAGCCTGTTCCCGCCCGGGAGACAGAGGGCGCCTCTGTCCACTTCTGGCCCCTTGCCCTTCGTGGTGTCATTTGTGAAGGGGTGGAGCCGGTGGGGAGGAGGATCGTCTGGGAAGGACGGCTAAAGACAGGTCTCCCCAAACCGCTCCAGGTGCCACATTTGCAGCCTGCCTGTCTGTCTGTCGAGAACCTGCTCCCACTTCAGGCCCAGGCCAACCGTGAGTACCCTACCCTGACTAGCATAGATTCCTGGCTTGGCCAGCCTGGGGGAAAGGGGTTCTCGAAAAGACCCCAAGAGCCCTGGAGGGTCTGGCAAGGGACTGGGAGGAATCAGTCAAGGGAGAGGGGAGTTTGGGATCTAGGGGAGATGAGGTTTGGAGAGCAGTGAGAGGAGGTGAGGTAAGTTCAGAGAACTAGGAGCTCGGTGAATAAAGATGCCACCAGACATTCCTACACAGAACCCTGTGCCTCCTGCCAGGTACCCCAGTCTCTAGGTGTCCAGAGGAAGGAGAGACAGCCCTGCTCCTTTAGGGTAAGAATTAGAAAGGCTGCTCCTGCCCCCTCTCTAGCCTCAGTCCCTGCCACAGATCCCAGGTTAGTCTAGAGCAGCAGCTCATACGCCATGTGATATCATGAAGAAGGGGGTCTGTGGCACTGTGCCCTGTCCCATCTCTGCCTTCTCAAGAACTCCTCCTTATCCCTTTTTTCAGTCCTGACCCCCACGTCTCTCTCCTCAATTTTTCCCCTCTCTGTTTCCCCACTGTTGCACCCCTAGGGCCTCCCTTTCATAAAATTCCAAGCTGCTGGAGGGCTCCAGGCACACCTCCGGGTGCCCCTCATAGATGAGGATGGTAACTGAGCCACCCAGATTCCTCCCTTGAGCACCTCTTATCCCTTTCATCAGCAGGTCTTGGGTTCTATCTCCCCCTGTCTCTGTGACAACTGCTTCTTGTGACTGGAGTTCAGGTGACAGTCACAAGGGCTCCATTGAAGTGCTGGGATGACATCTAATCAGGACCTATTGTCCAGGACACCCAGTGGTGAGGAAGGAGGAGGACACCTGAGCTGAGACACCTGAGCTGCTGCCCCCAGACTATGGAGAGCGTGACCCTCCCGGAGCCACAGGACTGGGGCCCCCTTGCATGCAGCTCCTTCTCAATAGATGTCCCATTCTTCTGCGCTTGCTCAGCCCCTTGGGCTCAGATGACCCAATGCACTCAGTCCTTTACCTAACCCAACAGCCCCATTCTGACCCCACTGTAGCTGCAGAGACAGCGGGCCTGAGGCAGGAATGGACAGCATCAGGGACAATGCCTTCAGGTTAGCTCCCTGGTTAGAAGCTGTCTCCAAGGAAAAAACCTCAGACATTTCCCTCGCCCTTCCTTCTGCCTACCTGATGCACAGGGGTGGTTTTGTAGAAGATATGAGTAGAACAGAAGGTTGGGGAAGCACACTCCGGAGAAGCCAAAATGACATACTGAGAGGAGAGGGGAGTCAGGCATGGTAGCTCAGACCAGTAATCCCAGCACATGGAGACAGGACTGCCCACAAGTTGAGGGCCAGCCTGAGCTAGTTCCAGGACAGCATAGGCTATAGAATGTGACCCTGATATAAATAAATACATCCCAAGTACAAAAAAATGGGGATATAGCCAATTGCCCTGGGCTTAATCTTCGATGCCTAAGGAGGAAGGGCCATGCTGCCAACAGACAGGAAGTTCCAAACCAGTGAGGCTCCCTCCCCAACAACTCTTGAGTCTCCCACTCTGACTGCCTACCCACAAAGGTACCAGACTTCTTCCTGGAGTGGGCAGTAGAGACCTCAGCTCACTTACTACTAAGAGCAAAGTTTGACTGTGACAGGCCTGGAAGGTAAAAATAGAGCTAGAAGGCTGCTTGGTCCTGTGTCCACCCATGCCTGCCCCACCCCACCCCACCCCTGCCCAGGCAGCCAGGAGCCAGCCACAGCTGTTTCAGGCTTAACGACAGCCCAGTTCCTATTGCTGTTTCCATGCCCATCCCTGACTCCCTCTAGAGAGACCCAGGACGATGGATTGGATTTAAGTGTGCTAGGGTTTCCCCCACATTGCAAAATCCCAATGAAAGGTAAAGAACAAGGGTGCCCACCTTGTACCTATTTGAGCTGTGAAACCAGGATCAAGTCTGAGGATTCCCTTACCCAGACTCCAGATATCCTGAACCTGGTTTACAATTTACTTCCGTCTTTGTGGGGGTGGGTAGGTGTGCTGCAGAAATGGGCTCTGAGCTGGAGACTGCCATGGAAACCCTCATCAACGTGTTCCATGCCCATTCGGGCAAGGAAGGGGACAAATACAAGCTGAGCAAGAAGGAGCTGAAAGACCTGCTACAAACGGAACTCTCTGGCTTCCTGGATGTGAGCAGAGGGTTGAGGCACAGGGGGGAGGAAGGGGATGGGAGCCCCTGCTATATCTATCCCTGCCTCACCCTGAGCTCAGTCCAGCCATCTTCCTCTTCCATTCTTTCGTTTGTTTTTAGTTTTCGAGACAGGGTTTCTCTGTGTAACAGCCCTAGCTGTCCTGGATCCTCTTCACCTCTTAACTAGGTTTTTCCAGGTTTTCTTAATGCCTCCCTGGAAAAGTCAAAATGCCCTAGTTTACAGACCGCCTGTCAATACTAAGCTCTGAAGATTTACCAATAACATTACCCACTGCATAGAATGGAGTCATGACCAGGCTTTGGTGGTGCATGCCTTTAATCCCAGGATTCAAGAGGCAGAGGCAGTTGGTCCTATCCCAACTAGATGATGGGACAGACTTAGTAGACTTCCTAGGGGAAGCCTTACCCTCCATGGAGCCGATGGGAGGAAGGCAGAGTGGAGGGAGTAGGAGGAAAGGACTGAGACGGAACCGGGATTAGAATGTAAAAAATAAATTAATAAAAAAAATCCAGGGGAAAAAAAAAGAGGCAGAGGCAGGTAGATCTCTGTGAGTTTGAAGTCAGCCTAGGCTACAAAGTGAGTTCCGGACAGCCAGAACTATACAGAGAAGTCCTGTCTCCACAACCCCCCCCCAAAAAAGACTATGAACTCAAAGAAATACAGAGCCTTAGAATTGTGGAGATTAGGCCAGGTGGTGGTGGTGCACGCCTTTAATCCCAGCACTCCGGAGGCAGAGGCAGGCAGATCTCTGTGAGTTCGAGACCAGCCTGCTCTACAAGAGCTAGCTCCAGGACAGCCTCCAAAGCCACAGAGAAATCCTTTCACGAAAAACCAAAAAAAGAAAAAATTGTGGAGATTAGTCCTCTGGAGTCACATGGCTTCTCTAGGTAGGTGGCACTTGAGCCATAGGTTTCCATGGAAGTTTGTAGATAAATTAAGACATTGTAAGAGGCATCCCCATGAAAAGAATCACGGGAAGAAGGGTGGAAAGTATGCTCAGTAGCTTCCTTTGACTGGAGGATGCAGAGAAGCAGGAGACAGATGCTGGCAGCCACCACATACAAACCTCCAGCTTTGTTAGGCTTCACTGAAGCTGTGGCCCTGCTACTTTGTTGCTGCATAACTTTTGTTTATACCCCAACTGTCAATTTGTTTCTTCTCTGCAATGCAAGCAGTGGAAATGCCTCCCACATTATTTGCTTCAGTGTTAAACACAGGCTTGGTGGCACCCATCTCTAATACTGGCACTGACAAGGCAGACTGAGGAAGACCTTGGGTTCCAGGCCAGCCTGGGTCAAGTGACAAAAACTGGGATTGTTTTTTGAGACAGGATCTCACTATGTAGCCCCAGCCGTCCGTCATGGAACTTGCTCTGTAGACAAGGCTGACCCTGAACTCAAATAGATCCACCGGCTTCTTTCCCCACTGAGTGCTGGGGTTAAAGGCATCTATCACTGCGCCGTAAAGTCATCATGGGTGTTTTGTTTTGGTTTTTTGTGGGTGGTGTTGAGACAGGGTTTCTTTGTGTAGAACAGGCTGGTGGCCTTGGCATCTGCCTCCCAAGCGCTGAGACTAAAGGTGTGTGCCACCACCTCAAGGCTCTCTCTCTCTCTCTCTCTCTCTCTCTCTCTCTCTCTGTCTCTGTCTCTGTCTCTGTCTCTGTCTCTCTCTGTCTCTCTCTGTCTCTCTGTCTCTCTCTCTCGTGTTTATTATTAAAACAAAGTCTGTCAGGTTCCTAGTGTAGCATTTGTCACATTGTAGACAATCATGTATGACAACTGATATTAGTATTAACTCTGCTAGGCTCTGCACCCAACAGGAGCTCACCATTCTTCAGTGCTGTAGAAGATTCCCATAAATATTATTCTCTCACTTGCTCACTTCTGCCTCCTCAACCACTGTGCAGGCTCTAACTTAGGGACATAAATTTCCATCTCCTCCCTCCATAGGTCCAGAAGGATGCAGATGCTGTGGACATGGTAATGAAGGAACTGGATGAAAATGGAGATGGGGAGGTGGACTTCCAGGAGTATGTCGTGCTGGTGGCTGCTCTCACGGTGGCTTGTAACAACTTCTTCTGGGAGAACAGTTGAGCACTTGGCCCTAACCGGCAGTGTCCTCCTACTTGACCTGATCAGACTTCCCCTTTATCCTGCTTTCTCCTTACCCCATCTACGCCTCATGTCCCCATCCTTGCCCGGTCCCATACCAAGGGCACAAGAGTGTCGGTCCAGGTCTGCCATTCACTCTAATAAAGGCTTCCCTCACTAGCTGTCAACGTCTGTCTCCTCTGGGTCAGGATATGTGTGAAGTATGGGTGCTCACTCCAGACACTCCTTGTCTTGGAGAGTTTATGTGGTTAGATCTTACTTAAGGAACACTCAAGACCCAAAAGTGTAGGTGTCCAGAGTTTTAACTGAAACTGAAGTGTCACTGGCTTCTCAGGGACTTGTATAAGTGATTTTGAGTTCCAAGCCAGCCCATGCTACATAGCCAGATCCTGTCTCCAAAAACAAAAACAAACAAGCCATCAAAAAACTGAATAGCTGGGCGGTGGTGGCGCACAGCCTTAATCCCAGCATTCGGGAGGCAGAGACAGATGGATCTCTGTGAGTTCAAGGCCAGCCTGGTCTACAGAGCGAGTTCCAGGACAGGTTCCAAAGCTACAGAGAAACCCTGCCTTGAAAACAAACAAAAAATCATAGCACTCAGAAGGCAGAGGCAGGTGGATCTTTGTGAGTTCAAAGACAGCCTGGTCAACACAAAGAAACCCTGTCTCAAAAACACACACACAAAACCAAATACCTATACATCGCAAATAGGGATGAGAAGTCCAGAGCAAATCACCCAGGCTCTGATGTCCTAACAAAAACATGTTAGAGTTGTCTTTAGTTTAGTGATGAGGGAATAACAATACAAACACTGCTTTCAATCAAACCTAAGCTGGTCTTTGCAAACCAGAAAACCCCTTCAAAGTGGGGCATAAGCTCGTCCAGAAAGTAGTCTAGAAGGTACCCTAGCGATTAAGGCCACTGACGGCGCCCTGATGCGGAGCACTCCGGCTAACTGTGGGAACCTCCGCCAAAGTCCCGTAGATCTGCCTGCGATCCCAGCGCCGGCCGAAGCGCCCACTTGCCACGCCCCTAGCTGCGCGCGCAATGACGCAAGTCCGCCGGCGCCATTTTAGCCGGTCACGCCGCACTGGTGGGCCTGGCAGCCATTTTGTTTGGGACACCAAGCGGGAGTTGGCGGCGCCGGCTGTGGTGGCACAGACGAGAGGCAGGGAAGGGCAGGCCTGACGAGCGGGAGGATCGGCCGGCTAGACACCCAGCCCACAACGAGTGAGCTCCGCACCATACCGTCTAAGCGTCTCACCCAACCGCCCAGCTAAGTTCACCCCAGCGGTCCCCCGTCAGCTCAGGTTCGGCCGGCCCCCGGCCCGCCCGCCCGCCGCAGCCGTGGTGGCAGCCCCGGGAGGAGCGCTGGCGTCCGTCTCCTTCGGTGAGTTTCCGTGTGAAAGCAGAGGCGGCGGCGCGGGCGGGCGGCAGGTGTGGACGGCGCTGCGGGGCGCGGAGGCCGGGGAGGGGGCGGAGCCGGGGGGCGGAGGCTGAGCCGGAACCGCGGCGGGCGAGCCGGCCGGCCGGCGGGACTGTTGGTGCGGGTTTGGGCGGCTGGTGTGGTTGCGGCGGTTCGGTCTGGGCTTTCCGGTCCTGGGCCTTGAACCCGGCGCCTTGGACGAGCGCCCTACGCCCGGGCCCCGGCACCCCCCGGAGTAGTGTTTGACGGGGACAACAACGGAAATGAGCAACTGACCCAAGTGGGGGTCTCGAAAAGCTTAGAGGGCGGGATGGGAGGTTAAATAGATGAGCGCTACAGAATTGAGCGGCAGCTCTGGGTGTTTGCTTTTTGCGGCACCGAAATTGAACCCAAAATCCTGATTTGGCTAGACAAGCGCTCCGACCTAATGTCCCCAACCTTTTTTTTTTTTTTTTTTTTTTTTGCTGTAGCTTGAGACAGGGCCTCTCAAGTAACCTAGGCTCGCCTTGATCTTCTGCCATCAAGTCTGGCTATGGTGAAATTTTGTAGAGTGCTCTTGACAGAGCTCTCAGAATACCCATTTGGAAAGCCTTCTCTGTCTTTACCCTGCCGTATCTTACTAGAACTCCACTTGGATTTGTGAGGATCTTTTGAAACTAGGCATTTCTTTCATTTGATGGCGGTGGGGGGAGAAACCGTACCTCACAGTGTCACAGTGTAACCCGCCGTGGCCTCAGCCTGTTACACCATTCTCCTGCTGTGGGTTTCATTAGTGCTAGTCACTCTACCACTGACTATATTCCCAGATCCTGCATTTACCCTGATGCATGACTTTCAGTTTTCTGTAGACATCTAAGATGTACCTAGATGCTCCTAACCCCAGTGGCTGTTCCCCAGTCCTCATGGCCAGATTGTAGTTTAATTGGCTTGGGTCCAGACATCAAGGTAAAAATTCATGTTCCTTGGCTAAAATCAGTCTAGTTTGAAAGGACTATTCTATATTGAAAGCCAGGCTCCTAGGCTTTGGCTACATCTGATTCTATCATTTTGTAGACTTTAGCAGACATTCTCCATACTGGGGTTTTTGACATTTTAATAAATTGCGATAACTGTGATATAAACATATTCTTAAAATGAATTTTAATGTGGACAACAGTTTGTAATATAGGCCTTTCATTGGTTTATGCTTTGCTCCTTGTGAAAATGTAATCTTCAGCTGGTAATTGTGGTACAAGTCTTTAATCCCAGCACCCTGAGGCAGAGCAGGCAGATTTCTATGAGTCCCAGGGCTACACAGGAATCTGGTCTCAAAAAAAAGGAAAGAAAGAAAACGCAGTCTTGATAGTGATTTACTTTACTCATTATGCATGTTGTCCTTTGTAGATTCTCGGGATTTGAAGATGGCTGCACAGTCAGCGCCGAAAGTTGTGCTAAAAAGCACCACCAAGATGTCTCTAAATGAGCGGTGAGGCAGCCAACAGCAACTTCAGCTCCTTCCTAAGAAAACATTACTTAAGTTGGCCCTGGGGTCCAATACACAAAAAACAGTTGTAAGCTAAATAACAGAAGGCTACAGACCTCTGTTCTTAATTGCATCTAATGTGGTACACAAAACAAATTGGGCGGTTGTTTCAAAACCCCTTATCAGTAGATTTTTATATTAAGCTCTCAAATATTTACCTGGTGGGATATACTTTTTTGAAAGACTCCTCACACCCTCCTTTTTTTAAACATTGATACAGGGGTGGTGCAGCATGATGGTATGGTATATCCTGGCTGCAATAGGCTTGCTGCCTAGTCCAAGGCCAGCAGTGTTGTGTCTGGCCTGTAAGAGGCAGGTAGCAAGCCGTGACTATGTCCAAAGGCCCCTGAATGGCATTCTTGGGCCTTGTAAGAGGCACTTGCTTTGCTCCATTTCACTTTCTTCCATTCTGCTTTTAGTTTGCTTTGTTTTGAATTCTTTTGACAGCTGTGTGTTTTCTTCCATTAAACCTAACTCATAACAGAAATGATAGAGTGTCCTCATAGGCTCTTAAGTGGTTGAACTAATTTAACTTTCTCAGAAGTACTGAATTAGAAAAACTGACTATTTGAGACTGAAAAGTTAAAGGCAGTTTTGTTTCTGAGAGTTACATTTATGTGGTGTCTTTCACCATTTTATCGTGTTGCTGCTAGAATTCTTAAGGCATTTTATGTCTGTTCTTGCTTCTAGCGCAGATGTACTTCTCTGTTCATATCTTAAGATGTGTTACATTACCTTTATTCATGTGTTACTAAGTAACGTGCTAGAATGTAGTAAATTTCCATAATGTATTTGTCTGTGTTATTTCAGTGGACTTTGAAAGTGTTCTGGTCCTTCCTCCTGTTTGTCCTTAGGATGAACCTTCACTTCAAAAGATGTAGGCATTTTTGTTTGTCTTTGTAACTGCATCTCTGTCTCTTGTCATCATATTTGCTTAATGCGTGTTTTTCATGCTTTCCACTTCTCTAAGAGCTGTTACCTGAGCCCTTGTTATCACTTTTAATTGTGCTGCACTTGGCTGCATTTCTGAGTTTCTGGTTCTTGCAAGTTTGTGGAAGCAGAGGAGTCTTTAACCCACATCAGCCTTGATCCAAATGTACCACTTTAAAGTTCGTGGGATCTGGAGCTCCTGGTCTAGCAAGCCATGAAAATGCCAATAAGTGTTTTATAATAAAGCTTTTATTTAAACACCCATTCTGTTCGACCTTGAAGCTTTACTAATATGCTGAAGAACAAACAGCCGATGCCAGTGAATATTCGGGCTTCGATGCAGCAGCAGCAGCAGCTAGCCAGTGCCAGAAACAGAAGACTGGCCCAGCAGATGGAGAATAGACCCTCTGTCCAGGCAGCATTAAAACTTAAGCAGGTGAGAGAACGGGTCTTGGCAGTCTATGTCAGGCAATCTACCAAGACTGTCAGGATATAATGGATGAAAGATGGCTCAGGGCAAAAGCTGAAACTTACTTGAACAAATGTTCAAAGAATTCCAGTTTGGGCAGGTACCAATTAAGTAACATTTTTTTTTGTTTTTAAAAAGTTTTGACAATACAGAGAAACCCTGTCTCAAAAAAACAAAAACAAAAGTTTGTTTGTTTGGGGTTTTTTTTGGGGGGGGAACTGGGTTTCTCTCTGTATCCCTGGCTGTCCTAGTACTCCACTCTGTAGACCAGGCTGGTCATGAACTCAGAGATCTGCCTGCCTCAGCTCTCTCCAAATGTCAGGATTAAAAGTCTGTGACACCACCACCAGTTTAAGTAACAGTTAAGTATCTTTCTTCTCTAAGGAGTGTGACACGTCTATAGCCTGTTTGTGTTATCAGTGAGGATTAATTGGTTATTTTCTGGCTATCTATTTACTTTTTTTTTTCTCCAGGGTTTCTCTGTATTGTTTTGGAGCCCATCCTGGAGAGCTCAGACCAGGCTGGCCTTGAACTCAAAGAGATCAGCCTGCCTCTGCCTCCCAAGTGCTGGGATTAAAGGCATGCGCCACTAACTCCCAGCTGACCCTTGCTCTTAAAATATAATTTTTTAAAACCTTTTTCTACAAAGAACCTGTTTAGTCTAGAAGTATTGTTCAATGGTAGAGCACTTGCCTAGCAAGTGCAAGGTCCCCAGGTTCAGTTCTCACATCTTCCCAAAAAACAGGAGAGTAACTTTGTTTTAGTTGCTTTGCTCTCTATAAAAATGATTTACAAACTAGAATAATCTTATTCTTCCTAG